TGTGTAGGCCCTGGTGAAGCTGGGGATACTACCGGTCAGTGCTGGTCTTATTCGTGATGAGGAGACAGATGATATTGTGCAGCACCAGTTATGGTACAGCAATGGACAGTTTACACACAGAAATACCATGTATTAACGATTGTTCGATATTTTGCCCCTACAGACATACATTAATCAAGAAAGTAGCTCTGATGACACCAGAGTTATCACTCTGCTCGGTGGCATTACCCACATGTGGGCCCAATTCACTGACACCGTTGCCAGGAGCATTAGTACAGAGCAGGATTTACCTATGATTCATTCAATCACCTCCAGTGTGTTATACATAGATATAATTACCTTTCCTTCCCATTGTAATATGATTTGTACATAGTCATGTATCTTGTATTCATGTAATAATTCAATGTACGCCCCGAAATAAAGGAGGAAATAAAGACAACAAAAACCCCACTAAACAAAACGAAAGAAAAATGTGTCTGTGTGTCTTCTTTGAGTGTCTTAGTGTGTGTATATCCACATCTTTTGGTAACTTGTGTATTGAAATGGGATTTAGTACCGACATGGAATCCATGCATGGTCTTAAAGGCACTTGGGCACTATGTATTGTATCCTGCAATCTAACTGTAGCAATGAAACTAGTGCGGCATCCGAACACAGTATATCTACGTATATTTGTGTGAAACTGATGTACATTGAAAGCCTATGAAACGTTTTACAATACAAATGTGTATGAGATAATGTGTGCGTGCGTGTGTCTGGGCCTGCGTATGCGTATGCGTATGTGTGTGTTCTTCCATAGACTTTTAGAAGGGGGGTGTGCAGAGGAAAGGGAGAGAAGACGTAAAATTGTTTTCTTGTATGTCAATATGAGTATTATGCTTTAAAGCTTTAAGGTGAGGTGAGGTGAAATTGGGTTTAACGTCGTGCTTGAGAATATTTCGCTCATATGACGACGTACATGCGTGTGTATGTGTATGTGCGGCTGCTTGTACTAGCCCAGACTTAAGCTGGTTTTATAGTGCTAGCTCACTGAGATACCGTGCCGCAGTGAAGCATGAATACCCCACTCAGACACATTATACTGACTCCGAGCCGACCAGTCCTTGTTGTACCCATTAATGCCGAGCGCCAGGCTAGGACCAACAAGTAACATATTTTAACGTCTTTTGGTATGACGCGGTCGGGGATCGAACCCGCGACCTTCCGCTCTCTTGGTGGACGCTCTAACCACTACACCACGGAGGCGGTCTAAAGCTTGAAGACGTTGTAGAGATCCCCATTATCTACGTTCTACAATTTGTATTTGAGAACAAACACACTGTTTTCTAACGTCTCGTATGGCCTTTGCACGGATTACAATGACTCTAGACCTATGAAAGACAGAGATAAGGGGAGAAGGGTTTGTTCTTTCCGCCACGTCACTGACAATGCGAATGACGGAAATACATCTGTGATGATATATTATCAATTTCGTGAAATACATATGAAACGTCGAGGCCAGATAATAAGCGGTACGCATGGCATTGACCTTGTGATTAACGCAATTTACTACACGCCGCGCTCAATGTGATAAGGTTACCATGGAAACTGACGTCAAACATCTTAATTTGTACTGTTGAACACACCTTGACAACATCGCCTATAATAACAAGTATTTTCACCTTGCAAATTATATTAGTTATTGGATATATTTTGTGTTGAAAACCTTTAACGTAGAATTATGGAATTGATCGGAGAAAGAACGTACAAACAAACCAAAATAATTTTTAATGAAATCCATACAAAACTGGGTATAGATAACAACTATATAGATAACAACTCTTTGTGTTATCCATAAAGTTTGTCTATATTGTACTTCTCAATTTCTAAAATGCAACTCAAAGATGTTGTAATTAATAGTTATAAGAATTTGAACATACATGAAGTGTGGACTACTGATTATACATTTTGAGTGTAAGATACATAGATGCTTCAATAATTGTGGAACAGCCAATACCCCCTCCCTCCCCACAGTTATTCCCCCATATGAATTGGCAATAAAGGAGACTAGTCAGACCAATGCTTCATATTCAGATCCATTCATAAAGATTCAGAGTGACAAACCGCTCTCCGCTTGACTGTTTGAAATGAAACAAAAGTCAATTTCTTCTTTATGTCGAGCAATTTGAGTTTACGTATAAACATACTGTTTATACAAAGATAACGTAGAGCGTCATTTTGCTCAAAGGTTGTTTGATCAGGGATACAGCATTCAAGGATCAAATAAGGCTTTCAAATCATGTCATGGTTGTCATGGGAGAACATTCTCAGTTTGAATCATCAGTGACAAAAACGATGTCCGAAGATATTCAAAAGTTTCCAGTAAACTTGACCCGTGAAGATCCAGGTTAGAACTGATTTATTGATTTTCAGCAAGACATGCTTGTCGAAAGAGGCTACTAACGGGATCGGTTGGTCAGGTTCGCTGACTTGGTTGACATATGTCATAGTATCCTAATTGCGTAGATCGTGCTCATGCTGTTGATCACTGGATTGTCTGGTCCAGTTTCGATTATTTGCAGACTGCCGTCTAATGCTGGAATATTGGTGAGTGTGACTTCAACAAACAAACAAACAAACAAACAAACAAACAAACCAGTAATATGCCCGCGTGCCTGCTTGACGTGGGAAGAAATCCCGAAGTGATGCAAGTCTGGAATGGCTGTCAGGTTGGGGATGCTATAGAGGACTGGTAAGGTGCTGACAAACCAAGAATCTGGCGAACTGGGATTCGAACCGATGATCATATGTTCCGGGAGTACCAAGCCGAAGCAAGTTTCCACATCGTTTACAGCGCCTAAGTCTACTATATCATACCAACAGCACCCACAGATTTCTAACCATTAAAGAAATGGTTTTGTCGCTTTCATTGTATGAGTGAGGGAAGGTTGATTTTTAGTCTTATATACTCTTTATTCCAAAAATATCACGATGTCCTTTGGTAGTCGCATCTCAGAACATACTAGTGGTCAATAGCATGATGACCAATTATACCGTCGGATACTATAACACACAGGCAGTTAAAGACTAACACTTAGTCTCGGAATATATTGATTATTAGAATAGGTTTTGAAAGGGCGCCCAGTGTGGTGGGATCCAGACACAGCAAGTAGTACGACGATGCGTGGTCACATCCAATGTCTCCAGAAACAGATACCATTATTATTATACCATTGTGCGTTTGGGGCAAACTTGCGGTAAAAATTGATCACTGGAAACCAGCGACGACTCCGTGTTTTCAAGAATAATCTGTTCCTATTTTTGTCCAAATCTAATGTCAAGGGTATGTGGACCTTGCCATAATGGTTAGACAGAAATGAAAAGAATAAATTCGTTTATGTTCAACGAATAAAAACAAATAGTTGGGTCCCCCACAAAACTCTAAACACATGTATGAACCGGCAATCATTGTCACAGCATATTGATAAGAATTTGTACGTGCATAAATACATGTATATCGTATTCACAGATTAGGTAATTTTTGAAATATGAAAAGTAGGAATGTCAGTCCATGTCAAGTCAAACCTTTTCATATTCAACTAAATACAAAACAATAGATGTACGATAACACGAAACTCACAAATAATACTAGACTAATGCTTAGTCTCTGAATATATATAATTTTGACAGGAAGAAACAAGCCCATTTAAATTGAAAAGGAGCCCTAGGGAGACCAGAGATTCAGACTGAGGAAATCTAGACTTGCTTTATTTAGGGCTTCAGCACTGCAGAGAGAGCTTGGCAGTAGGGAAAATAATGTGGTTCAGGGACTGTGAGACAGACTAAAATAATACATACATACACACACATACACACACACACACGCAAGCACGCACGCACGCGCACACACACACACACATATACATACATACATACATACATACATACATACATACATACATCCATCCATCCATACATCCATCCATCCATCCATCCATCCATCCATCCATCCATACATACATCCATCCATACATACATACATACATACATACATACATACATACATACATACATACATACATACATACATACATACATACATACATACATACATACATACATACATACATACATACATACATATATTTGTATAGCGCCGATATCCAGCTCAGCTGCTCAAAGGCGCTTTGTTTTCCCTCGATCACTGGATGTCAGTCTCAACGGCACGTCGTATTATCAATCTCAACTTAATATATTTAACCCATGAAATTATTATTTCATTGTTCAAACTTTCATTCTTCAAGATATGATAATTCTCATACTTTCAAGCAATGTTCGCTATTTGATACAAATCTTATAAAAGAGACAACAGAACTTTCGTGAAAAAGGAAAAATAGTGGCGATGACACCAGGTGTCTGTGAAAGAAGTAATCTCATCCTGTTCCACAGGTAGCATCACAACTTAAACAATTCCACGAAACATGTTGCCAAACACGGCACAGCACTATTCCTGTCAACAGTCTGCAAACAAGCAAGACAATCAACTGATTGAGCAAAAGAGTTTCCAATCAGATGATTTTCTTTTTAGTTTATGTAAAAAAAACTCTGCTTAAAGGACAATCGAATGTACGATTTCGCTTTACGAGCATGTATGTAAGAATCACTAAGTGCCCTTGAAAAATTGCTGCTTCGGTGAACACTCTTCAAACAAAATAACCAAGAAAATACCGCGTTTAGTTCGTACTGAAACCATACAGAATTGTCTGATTTCACACTAAAAATAAACGCATAAATTTCATAGATATGTGAATAATGTGTTGTTACCTTTCCTGTTTGAGAATAGTGAGTCTAGGAAAAGACTCGCTGAAGAGAGCAGAGCAAGAGATTTCCATTTCATTTGAAAACGCCGATAAATATGTCAAAATATGAGACAGCCTGTAAATTCAAGTGTCATGATGAGAAATAATACTTGAATTAGATTAAAAAAATAAAAAAATGATCCGATATTAAACAATCCTTACCTTTCAGCCACATCGCCCTCAGTTCTGATGTCTAAAGGGAGGATTTCTGATTAGTTCTCAACAACAGCGGATATTACCGTGACGCGACCGCCCACTACCGACAAGAGCCATGTCGCTTGGTTTGGTATACGCGCGGGATTCCATATCGCAGCCTGCCTCGCGAACCAGTATAATCAAGGCTTAGACAGAATAGCGTTATTTTAACACTTTACAACAGTGGTACACACAAGCAACGGAGCGCCACGATTGGAGGGCCCTCTTGTCCAGCTCTCGCCATCGACAATGGTCGAAGCAAGGGTGTCATTGTCCCTGCTGATATATAATTAGAACTTGTCCGCTGCTCTGTTTGCGTTGGTGACGTAATTATCTTCACGTTTGCTTTATTTCATTTCGAGAAGTGTGTTGTATGGATAACGCCATGTGGTGCTGTAGTCATACAGTGTGGACGTGTCAATACCTGGGTGCTTGTCACCATGCTACCAGGTCTACCGTGTGTGTGTCTGTGTTATTGGCATTGTCAGAGAGATGCTTAGGAGGGTTGTAATTATGCATCATCTCTGGCATTCTTACTGCTTCAGAGAACAATGGAATGGTGTCAGCGTATTGGAATCCCGTATCGATGATCCTCCTTCTGGCACCACCGATCTGGGTTTTGTCAAAGAGTTCCATTCTCCTAGCACTGCCGATGCTCAGCTGACAGTCTGTATTAATGAGTGTCCGTAATGATGTTAAAGCACTAGTTACATTAATTGTTTCGCTCGGATCCCTCTTGGTACTGAGTCACTGAGTTGACTGAGCCCCGGGTTGAACAATATAATGTAAAGTAAGATAATATAATGAGAATATTTACAACACGCCTTTTCCAGGCAATATATCCTGCTCAAGGTGCACAATCTGATCATTATTACCCCGCATAACCCAAGCTGCCTGTTAGGCGCAAGAAGGTTAATAATCTCCCGACTGATCTCACCGGGTACCCATTTTCTGCCGAGTGAACAGAGGCAATTTTGAACAAACTCACTGTTATTTCATTGTCAGGTTGGTGTGGGAGGAGAGATGGTGTAGATGTTGGAGCTTTACCGCATTCGGGAGGATGGTCTGGGCTAACCCGGATTCAAACCCATGATCATAGGTTTCTTGGGTGCCCAAGGGACATAAGGGAAAATAAATAAGGAAATTCTAGAGGAGTTACCAAAGTATGTTGTCTTAGAATTTAGACTCGACAGAAGCAGAAATCGTTTGTTCGCAGTATGCCTTATTTGTTTAGTTGGGGCGGTGGGGAAGCCTTGTGGGTAATGCGTTCGCTCGATTCCTACCATGGGTACAGTGTGTGAAGCCCATTTCTGATGTCCTCCGCCGTGATATTGCTGGAATATTGCTAAAGGTGGCGTAAAACCATATTCACTCACTCTTGCCTTTACCCCGACGGCGTGAGACGTTGTCGACAACCACTGTTTTGTGTTTCCGAGACTTGATCATTTACAGACGGGAGTGATACTCAATTCTCAACAATCGGTTATTCAATTACGTTGACGATCGACTCGGCGTTGACGGTTGGCTCGACTCAGTGGGACTTTCTGAAAACGTCTCTCACATCTGCAGACCAACTTTTATTAATCTCGTTTAATGTGACAGTAACTGGTTGCACTCTCTGATTACTGACAGTCCTGCGGTTCGACATTCGACACTAATACGAAGGCAAAAACCAGGACACGGTGCAGACACAAGTCAGACTGCTGCCTGTGACGTTAGCGAGCTTGTTTATGCTCGTGGACGCCATTTATCATCAACTCGTGCGTTTCAGACAACAGCAATGGCGTCTCGTGTCCGTCTCGTGACCAGTTTTGCAACTTGGTTCCGTCTAAACGCAGACGGTCCCGACTAAGTGAATTGCAAACTCGTAGGACCACCCACATCGTATATTTTGAACATGCTATTTAAAACACATCGGCCATGAGTTGATATACAGTATGATTGGACGAAATGAACTATATCCGGGGTTTATGTACTAGTATTTTGTAAAACCAAATAGTTTCAGGAAGTAAAATTTAGAAAAGGCAACAGCGAAGTTCCATGTTAGCACATCGAAGATAGTTAGTGAGTTTTGTGTTACGCCCCTTTTAGCAATTTTGCAGCAACATCACGGCCGAGGACACCAGAAATGGGCTTCCCACATTGTGTTTGAGTGAGTGAGTGAGTTGGGTTTTACGCCGCTTTTAACAATATTCCAACAATATCACGGCTGGGGACACCAGTAATTGGCTTCACACATTGTACCCGCATGGGGACTCGAACCCGGGTCCTTGGCGTGACGAGCTAACGATTTCACCACTAGGCTACCCACCGCCCGACATCGAAGATAGGTGTGTTAGAAAGTCTCAGATGTGATATTACAACTTATATAAAGACACAACATACATTATTGTTTGTAATAATGGGCATGTCAGAAAAGTGTTTTTGTATACTTGCTTTATAATGTTTGATGTAAAACGATAACGATTTGACTTTTAGTGTCACCCTCTTTGCTTCATATCTGCGTCAGATTGGTTTACATCATGTCGTAAAATCCGCCGATTTACGACAGTTCGAGTTGCGCAGTGAACGCAATCTGAAACCAGCAGCCATATTTAACGTCAAACGCAATCATGACCACTACATGAATTAGGACGAGGATACAACCAGGTGTCGATGACACTTACCGTTATACACCGTGACAAATCGCCCATCCCTCCACTCGTGTTTAAACGGCCTTTCCCACAGGAACAAATCGCCTAAAACGCGTCCGTTATTGGGTTAGCAATTAATGTCCATAGCCCCGCTCGCCCACACACAGTAACACTAAAAGCATCACTGTATCAGAGCGTCTTGCCATCAATCAACATTTCACGGAATTTAAAAGCATCGGCGAGGGTGAAAGAATAAACTTTGCCATTTCAAAGTTTCCAGTCTCTTAGGTCATTGATTTATTGAGCCTTTTAAAACATCACATAGATTAAAGCTGGCCAATTCGGTAAAAAATGACACCTGATGAACTGCCATTATACCGTGGTGCCAACAGTATCTTGTGAGACAACGGGGAAACTGTTTAAACAAGCTGCGCTATTGATCGCAAATAAAATTACTCTTGTAAATTGGGAATTACTGATGGTTGGGCAAATGGTTATAATAACATCACTATTACTGTTAAGTGGGTGAATGTTTCACTGCGGGAGAGCAGTTTAGAGGACTTTAAAGGTTTCACCCGACGAGGCTACAAATAAATAACACATATGGTCAGCATTGATGAGTGTATTTGGTTTTAGATTCTAGCAGTATCTCTGCCAAATCGTGGCAGGGGTACGAGAAATGGTCTTCTCACGCTGTACCTGAACTTAACTGAACACATACCAACGCACACACACGCACAGACTCACATACGTACACACACAGACACTAACACACATACACACACGCGCACACAGAGAAACACGCACCACAGTACTTCCCAATTCCACAAACAAGTTATTTTGATATTGTAGACGGAATAATCAGTGAAGGTTTTTGCTCATTGTTTTTACCCTGTGGTATTAGCCCCGAGAAGATCCGGGGTAGAATAGGTCTTCAGCAACACATGCTTGCCAAAAAGGCGACTATGCTTGTCGTAAGAGGCGACTAACGGTATCGGGTTGTCAGGCTCGCGGACTTGGTTGACACATGTCATCGGTTCCCAATTGCGCAGATCGATGCTCATGCTGTTGATCACTGGATTGTCTGGTGCAGACTCGATTATTTACAGACCGCCGCCATATAGCTGGAATATTGCTGAGTGCGGCGTAAAACTAAACTCACTCACTCACCCTGTGGTATTCAGTATTTGTGAGTGCGAGGTCTGAACAGGCTTGAAAATGTCTTGGGTGTATTTGTTAAGGTTGTTCAGGTTCTCGGATGTGTCTCCTCATATACATGTTGAATGTCCGGCAAATACCCACATTGGTTTCAACATCAGTGACAGTTTGCTACAATGATATGTTTTGGAATGTGCTGAGAAATACATTTGACCCGGGGTTTTACTGAGTAGTAAATGGTGTAGTGATATACTGACTGACTGAATTTGGTTTTACGCCGCTTTCAGCAATATTCCAGCAACATCACGGCGGGGGACACCAGAAATGGGCTTCATACATTGTGCCCATTGGGGATTCGAACCCGGCCCTTCGGCGTGACGAGCCAACGCTTAAACCATTAGGCTACCCCACCGCCCCTGTAGTGATATACACACGGGTACATGTGGTACAGGTCTGAAGACGGATGTACCCGTCTATCCGACATACGTTTTGTCAGTTCCGTCAGAACTGAAAATGTCCTCCAAACATAATGATTATGTTCTGAACAATGGTGTGTCCAAATCCAGGATACAAATATTCTTTGTTTTGCGGGCTATAACAAATGCCCAACCTCCTCTATCTACAGAAGTATAAAGGTTACTAACCGACTAAATCATTCATTATATGAGTGTGTGAGTTTAGTTTTACGTCGCATTTAGCAATATTCCAGCAATATCAGAAATGGGCTTCACCCACTGTACCCATGTTGGGAATCGAACCAGGGTCTTCGGCGTGACGAGCGAACGCTTTAACCACTAGGCCACACCACCACCCCAATATCTTATGTAATGACGACATCACGCATTGAGACCCGCGAAGATCCGGTTAGAACTGGTCTTCAACAACCCATACGACTACGAGATCGGGTGGTCAGGCTCGCTGACTTGGTTGACACATGTCATCGTATCGATGCTCAAGCTGTTGATCACTGGACTGTCTAGTCCAAACACGAATATTTACAGACCGCCGCCATATAGCTGGAATATTGCAAGTTGCGGCGTTAAACAACAAATACACCAACCACACATTGAGAAAAGTCTGAAGCATATTCTCCCAACAATGAAGTCAATGATGACGTACGAACAGGTTGTGCGCACCATACATTGGTTCAAAGATACTTCATAAGACATGGTGCTTTTCTTCTATAATGAACGATATTCACGAAACGTTTGCTCACATTATAAAACAAAGCTGCAATTTAAAAAAAAAAAATGACAAAACACTATCTGTTATAAG